CCACTACCATGCCCAGCTGATTTTTAAAAAATTTATTGTAGAGATGATGTCTCACCAAATTGCCCAGGCGGGTCTCGAACCCATGGGCTTAGGCAATTCACTCACCTCAGCCTCCCAAAGCACGGGATTACAGGCTGAGCCACCAAGCCTGGCTGTTATTGTAATTTTAAATAAACAAAACTAAAAAGCAATAACATAATTATACTACAATTAGATGAAAAAAAGTTTTTTGAGATAAAGATTATTTATACCAAAAAAAATATGGAAAACAATATAGTCTACACACCAAATGAAAAATCCAAACATTCATAAAGATTTCTTATAGCATTATTATTTTTATTGTTGTTTTGTTATTGTAAAGATAGGTCCTCACTCTGTTTCCTAGACTGAAGGGCTGTGAGTGATCATAACTCACTGAAACCAGGGATGCTCTTACCTCAGGCCCTAGAGAAGCTAAAACTACAGAGATGCTTACTTATTTGTTCTATTACTATTTTTTCTAAGGAGAAAACCTTTAACAAGAAACAAATAGTTTAGAGCTAAATGTGATTATGAAGGTTACAAAAGAATGTGGTGCACTTCCATTAGTGCAAAAAATGAAGAACCCATCAGAAAATTGGATCATGTACTATCTTCCAAGGAGAAAAATGAAGCAACAATGCTTGCCCTTCCATCCCCAGTCTCCTGTTTATACTGAAGTAAAGAGCTCCCTTTATTCAGTTATCTTCTCAAATATGTTTTCCTCAGAGACATCTGGTCACAAACACCCTCATCCAGCTTTAGTTTTCTTCACAGCACTTATTCTACCTAACATTATATAATCCTTAGTATATTCTCTATTAAAATATAAGCAGCATATCAGCAGTGTCATGGTTTCTTTGTTGCAGTATCCCTGACATTTTAAGTAGATGTTCAATAAATCTATGGTATGCAATGAAAGTGAGTAACTAAAGGAAGGAATGAAGTGGCAGTTAGGCAGTCTTGGGCCTGAAAGTTTTTCCCTAAACAAGTCTACTATGTCTGGAGTAGAAAAAGGAGTTCCAGTCACTGCTGGTTGTTGTCCAAGGTACTGCTCTAAAGTCACTGAATTAATGGAACTTAAAGACACAAAGAGCAGTTCCTGGCTCCGTTGTCAGCTGTACTTGGCACAACCTTCAGGTCTGTGAGTCTCTACCTGGTGTCTATACCCTGTTATCACAGAACTCTAAGGATCCCTGGTCATGTCATTCTCCATCTTATCCCCTTTAATTTAAAGGATAATCCTAAGGAAATAGAACTTGTAGGAGAGTGCACCCAATCTATGAAATGAGAACTTTATAGCTGAGGAATCAAAATCTGAATGAATGATTTAGAACTGAGCATGAAACCTATTTTTAGAGGACAAATTAGAGGTAGATTAGCACATCCGGTAGATGGACAGTAAGGAGAGGAAAAAATGAATAAGGTCAATTCTTAGTGTGAGGTTGTCTATGTGACTCTGGATAGGCTGAGAGGGTAGCAGCTCTATCCTTATGCACCACCAAATGCATCCCTAGAATGGCACACCAGGGTAAGTTTCTCTCCAGAAAGGCTCTGCTTCTGAGATTTATAAAGAATGAGAAACCTATAGTCCAGTCATGCACCTTCAACAGACCAGACACTCTGCAGAAGTAATAAGCTGTAATCACAGAAGAGATGTAGAAACTGAATTGTTCTAAAGGAACCACATCAAGTCCTCAGGGAGAATGTTAACTTTGTTGACACACAAATGGCGTGAGGCTTTCATTGGAGGAGGAAAAACAGAAACATGAGCATAGAGCTGTCATCTTCCTTCTCTATAGCAACTATTTTGAGTCCCTTTAGTGGGATTCAGGGACAAAAATTTTATGTATATGTGATTAATATGTAGATGTCCTATCTTTTCATAAAAGTTGTAGTAGAGCTATAAACACTCTGGTTTATCTCCCTTCCTGCACCCCACTCCATGAAAGAATATGAGGGACAAAAAGCATATAGATGTGCCTTGGGATGCTTTCACCAGAGAGGTCCCCATCTGAACTTTCTCATTATACTTCATAATGTTTTCAAGAAATGACATATTGCTTAAACATTTTCTGTTTTTTAAAAA